GCAGGGAGGAGCAGAGAGAGAGGGAGACAGAATCCAATGCAGGCTCCAGGCTCCGAGCTGTCAGCACAGAGCCCGACTCGGGGCTCGAACCCACGAATCGCGAGATCATGACCTGAGCCAAAGCTGGATGCCCAACTGACTGAGTCACTCAGGCTCCCCTCCTCCCTATTTTTCTATTAATTTTGCTTTCCTTCCTTTATGTTCATCTGTCTTGTATCTTAAAGTCCTCATATGAGTGAAGTCATATGATATTTGTCTTTCTCTGACTGACTAATTTCACTTAGCATAATATCCTCTAGTTCCATCCAGGTAGTTGCAAATGGCAAGATTTCATTCTTTTTGATTGCTGAGTAATACTCCATCGTGTGTATGTACATATGTATATGTATATGTATACACACACACAAACACACACACACACCACATCTTTATCCATTCATCCATCGATGGACATTTGGGCTCTTTCCATACTTTGGCTGTTGCCGATAGTGCTGCTAGAAACATGGGGGTGCATATGTCCCTTAGAAACAGCACACTTGTATCCTGTGGATAAATGCCTAGTAGTGCAATTGCCGGGTCGTAGGGTAGTTCTATTTTTAGTTTTTTGAGGAACCTCCATACTGTTTTCCAGAGTGGCCTCACCAGCTTGCATTCCCACCAACAATGCAAAAGAGATCCTTTTTCTCTGCATCCTCGCCAACGTCTGTTGTTGCCTGAATTGTTAATGTTAGCCATTCTGACGGGTGTGAGGTGCTATCTCATTGTGGTTTTGATTCGTATTTGGATGTCTTCTTTGGAGAAGTGTCTGTTCATGTCTTATGCCCATTTCCTCACTGGATTATTTGTTTTTTTGGGGTGTTGAGTTTGATCAGTTCTTTATAGATTTTGGATACTAACCCTTTATCTGATATGTCATTTGCAGATATCTTCTCCCATTCTGTCGGTTGCCTTTTAGTTTTGCTGATAGTTTCCTTCGCTGTGCAGAAGCTTTTTATTTTGATGAGGTTCCAATAGCTCATTTTTGCTTTGGTTAATTTTTTTTAATGTTTATTTTTAACAGAGAGACAGAGTGTGAGCCACCGAAAGGCAGAGGGGGAGAGAGAGAGAGGGAGACACAGAATTAAGCAGTCTCCAGAGCCCGATGTAGGGCTCGAACTTATGAACTGCAAGATCATGACCTGAGCCGAAGTGGGATGCTTAACTGACTGGACCACTCAGACACCCCCCTCATTATTATTCTTAATTTTATAGTTAAAGGAGGAAACGGAGGTTCAGGTGAAATGACTTGACTTTCACAGTTGGAACTAGGACCCTGGATTAACATTTTTTATTTCGTGTTCTACTTTCTCAAATACTCTCTGCCTTTTGTTTTTGTGTACACTTGCTCACCTCCTACATGGCCTTCTAAACTAATGCAGACAAGCTCACTTTGGCAGATACCATAATGGTAGGTTTCCAGTCCTGGCCAGTGAAGGGCTCTCACGATTGGGCTAAGAGCGTGAGGTTGAGGAGGAGTGTGGGAAAGAGGGTGGCCCCGTGAGAAAGGGGAGGAGAAAGCCCCACAGAGTCCAATTCTCTTGACCGCTTCCTAACACATTGTCATATGTATACATCTGGGTATTTAGTCTTGGTTGGGGGGCGGGTTAAGATTTAATGCAAATAAACTTACCTGGGACCAGATAAAATGAAAAGATTCAAAGCGGAGGATCGTGTAAAATTTAGTCCCAGCCTACAGATACCAGGATAAAAAAAGTGGGAGGAGGCCCCTGAGATTTTCAAAATTACCTGGTTACCAGCAATTGAACTGGTACCAGATTGAATTGGTACCTTGTGCTCCTGGGGTTGTAGTACATGAAGCGAGTGCGTGGAAAGACAGAATTGAGATACGGGTGACCTCAAAAATTGAACATTTGTGAATGAATAGTGATGGACTAATTATAGCCTAGCCACAAACTGGCTTTTTATAAAGCTGAGAATATTGGAAGTTTTCCTCATCATTTCTTTCCTCCAACCTTTCTGTTCTCGGAAGAGGTTGCTGGTGGTCCCCTTGGCCCCTCTCTGCCCTTTGAGTTTAATGAGCTAGGGGAGCTCTAGAAAGATTTAGCTAATAGCCTTTTGTCTGGTTTAATTGATAGGATTAAGTGGGATTCCAAGGTGAGCCATTATGTTTGAGTTAGTTTAACCCTCCTTGCCTGTGAACTCCGCGTCTGGTAGCAAGCCTTTTTTAATTTTATTTTCAAAAATTTGTATTTTTGAGAGAGAGGGAGACAGAGAATCTGAAGCACACCCGCACTGTCCGCACAAAGCCCAACACGGGGCTCGAACTCATGAACTGTGAGATCGTGACCTGAGCTGAACGTCAGCTCAACCCACTGAGCCACCCGCAAGTCTTTTCTGAGGGAGAAGTAATGCAGAGATGGACAGATCCGTTCACCTGGTCACTGTATCCGTAACTAGATAAAAAGAACAAGTCTGTACTTAGGTGGTGAGCATTTCAGCCTCCTCCCTTTTTATCTACCTGCGTTGATTCCTGTATCTAAGGTGGATTTAACCTCCCATGTGGTTAGAGCAGTAATTGGTGACATTGTAACATTATCAGTTACATATACATTTAAGCATTTTTTTTCTGTTTCTTAAAATTACCCTGTAACTTATTTTTAGCAGTTGTGCAAACAGCCCCAACTCCTTCTTTTTCTTGTATCTTTCAAGTTTATTTTTCTTGCTCCTTTCTCCATTCATATTGTTATTTTGTTTTCCTCTCCTGCTTCCCTTTAATTTTGCTAACTAGTAGCGAACACTATATTTAGAGCTGAAAAGAGAAGAGTGACTGTTGCCTTCAACTTGTTTCAGTCTTTCATCAGTTTCCCCTCCAGCTGTCAGGTGGATTTTGCCTTCAGCTCAGCAGGGAGAGCTGGAGACCCGCCTTCAGACCTGAGGCTGGGGTTCCTCTGTGCTCTCTATGCCACTGCTGCTAACAGAGAGCCAGTTTCCTCTCCTTCCGACCTGTGTTCACCTCATTGGGCCCGTGGGACGGTGGCTGGGCTGGCTTTTAGTTGCTTAGGCTTACAAGGGCCACGGATCTCCGACTTTTTTCTTTCTGAAGTCTGTTTCTGCCACACATCTGCTGGGGCAGCAAGTTGAACTTGAGGGGTAGCTGCCTCC